CTCTCTCTCTCTCTCTCTCTCTCTCTCTCTCTCTCTCTCTCTCTCTCTCTCTCTCTCTCTCTCTCTCTCTCTCTCTCTCTCTCTCTCTTGCATATTCTCTCTCTCTCTCTCTCTCTCTCTCTCTTGTATGCACTGTCTCTCTCCCTGCCTCCCCTCCCCCATCTCCTCCCCTTTTCCCATTTTCTTCCTGCCCTGATACTGGTCCCCGTCTTTGGCATTCTAATAACCTCCTCCTCCTGTTGTTCAAAGTACGCTGCAGGTCCATGCTTGGCATTCCGATCATGTCGAGGAACATAGAGGTAGATGTGTCTCTGATGTGAGGCATGCCGGGGAGCTTAATACCAAGTGACTTCAGCCTGTGTTCTGAACGTTTGTCATGCTAACAAGGTTGGACTGCCTTCGCTATAAAAGCTCAATATAAACAGTTTGTCACAGCCCCTCGTTTGTTGTCCTCTTCTCTCTCTCTGCCTACGGTTTACCGGGCAGTTCTATTTGTGACGATATATTATAAAATCAACTCAATGCCTACATGTGCTGCATCATACTCGGCCTAATTCAACACAGAGTCTAGCTATTCGGTCTATGGTGAAGTTCATGAGTCCCACCGAAACATAAGCGGCAAGCGGTGACCAATCCTTTTCTGTCAGTGGTAACGAACTCGGATGTGAGCGTACAGAATGTCCGCAGGCAGCATATCCATGATGTGTGGGGGGACAGCTAAGGAGATCTCAAGTTCGCGTCCCTCCGTTTACTCTTTCAAACCACATTTCTTCGTAGAGGCTCTCGCTTTAGCCGAAAGATCTGGCCAGAGTCGTAACTGGAAATATCATATATGTGAAAAGTGTGTCGGTGCGGGCAAGCAGCACAGGGAAGAATTCATACATGTGTTGAATCTGTTGATATTATTGGTCACTCTTTTCTTTTTCTTTTATTGTGGCAGACTGCGTAGCCACACGGGCCCTGTAGGACCCGTCCCGGACATTCAGCCTTAAAGCCTAAAACTTAGGAGCTACAGGCCCCGGTTGTTTCAGCATGAAAACTGAAAAACGAGGGCCTGCAGGCCCTACTCCGTTTCAGCCTATTTCTGGGTCTTTCAGACCCAGAGTTTTTCCAGCCTGAAACGGAGGG